TTATGGGAACAAGTAGAGTGCTTAGTGGTGGTGTTAAAGAGGTTCAAGCGAGCCATTGGTTGGACTATGGTGGATATTATTGGGATACCTCCCAATATTTGTTCCCATAAGATCCAACTTATGCCAAATCACAAACCGAGTATTGAGCACCAAAGAAGTTTAAATCCACCTATGCAAGAAGTAGTGAAAAAAGAGATCATAAAGTGGTTGAATTATGGAGTCATTTATCCTATTGCGGAAAACAGTTGGGTGTGTCATGTTGAGTGTGTTGCTAAAAAAGGTAGGACGACTATGGTACCTAATGAAAGGAACAAGCTTGTCCAATGCTGCCAGTGACCAGTTGGAGAGTTTGCATGGACTACCAGAAGTTAAATGCTTGAAATGAGAAGGACCATTTCCCCATGTCCTTCATGGATCCAATTTTAGACAGTTTTGTATGCAAGGGTTGGTATTGTTTTTTTAAAAGCTATTGGGATACAATCAGATCTCTATCGCTCCATAAGATCTAGAAAAGACCATCTTCACTTGTCCCTATGGGACTTTTTTCATTCAAAAGGATGTCGTTGGTTATATAATGCCCCGACTACCTTCCAACCTTGTATGATGTCGATAGTTTTCTATATGGAGGAGGACACTATTGAGGTATTCATGGATGATTTTTTTGAAGGGGGCATCTCCTTTGATCGGTGCTTGAATAATTTGGCTGAGGTGCTCAAGAGATGTGAGGATTGTAATTTGGTGCTAATTGGAGGAAATCTTGCTTTATGGTAAAATAAGGTATAGTGTCGGCTATCCGATCTCGGAGAAGGGGATTGAGGTTGACTGAGCCAAAGTGGAGGTGATAGAGAAGCTTCCTCCACCCATCTATGTCAAGGGTGTGAGAAGTTTTCTTGGACATGTTGGCTTTTATCGAAGGTTTATTAAGGATTTTTCAAAAAATGCACATCTCTTGTGAAAATATCTCAAGAAGGAATATAAATTATATTTCAATGAATCATGTCTAAATGAATTTGGAGAGTTTAAAGAGAACTTGGTATCCGCACCCATTATTATTTCACTAGATTGGAATGAGCCATTTAAGGTGATGTGTGATGATAGTGGGGTTGCACTTGGTGTAGTATTGTAATAGAGAAGGGATACAATCCTTCACCTCATCTACTATGCGTGTAAAACCCTTAATGAATTCCAAAAGAACTATACGTAACTGAATAAGAACCTAAAGCGGTGGTGTTTGCATTCGAGAAATTTTGCTCCTATTTTCTTGGAACGAGGGTCATAGTGCATACAAACCATTTTTCTTTGAGTTATTTGATGGCAAAGAAAAATTCAAAGCCAAGGTTGATCAGATGGGTATTGTTGCTGCAAGAGTATATTTTTAGGTGAAAGATAGAAAGGGGACTGAGAATCATGTTGCTGACCACTTGTCTAGATTGGAGGATGAAGCTACGCGAACTATGCATAACATCTTGCGTTGTGGGTATTATTGGCCAACCATTCGCCAATATGTTAATGAATTTTCCAAATCATGTGATTGGTGCCAACGAGATGGAGGAATTTCAAATAAGTAATGAATTTGCCAAATCATGTGATCGGTGCCAACGAGATGGAGGAATTTCAAAGAGGTAAGAGCTTCTCTTGAATCTCATCTTGGTGATAGAGATATTTGATGTATGGGGCATTGACTTCATGAGCCCATTTGTGAGTTCTTATGGGATGAAATATATTCTTATGGCGGTTGACTATGTGTCGAAATGGATTGAAGCAATTGCACTCCCCAACAATGAAGGAAAGAGTGTCACTGCATTCCTGAAGAAGAATATCTTCTCATGATTTGGTACACCTAGGGCCATTATTAGAGATGTTAGCTCACACTTTTGTAATAAACTGTTCAAAGGGTTGCTGGAGAGAGAAATATGGTGTTCATCACAATCTGGCTAGGCCTTACCACCCACAGACTAGAGGGCAAGTGGAGGTGTCCAATCGGAAGATCAAACAAATTTTGGCAAAAATAGTGAATGCAAATATAATGGATTGGTAAAGGAGGTTAGACGATTCTCTTTGGGCCTACCGCACTGCATACAAGACTCCCAAAGATATGTGTCCACACAACCTTGTATATGTGAATTCTTGTCACTTACCGGTCGAGCTAGAGCACAAGACAGCGTGGCCAATGAAGAAACTGAAGTTGGAGTGTCCCGGAGAATCAGAACAAAGACTCAATGAGTTAAATGATCTTGATGAGTTTTGCCTAAAATCATATGAAATATCAGCCATCAACAAAGAAAAGATGAAAAAGTATCACGACCAAAGAAAAAGCTCAAGTGGACTGGACCATTCCTCATTACAAAAGTTCAGCCTCTAAGTTGCACTTATTTCCGGGCAAACACAAGTCCAATTTGATTGGACCATTCCTCATTACAGAAGTGTTCCCACATGGAGCGATTGAGGTGGAAAATAAGGAAGGCGCTAAGTTCACAGTTAATGGACAAAGAATAAGGACCTATCTGGGGCAACCAGAGAGTGTGCATAAAGTACTTGAGGCCTATAATCTTTACGAAGTCTGATTAATCAAGGGGATGCATCATGCTTCCAGTTAAATCAAGAGATTCTTAGGAGGCAACCCAAGGTGTACTCGCTAGCAAACTATTGGCTTAGTTTTCCTTGTAGGATTAGATGTAGTCTTGTTTAGTTGTTCTCCTTATTTTATTTTTTGTGTGCTAGTGTTGATTAGAGATTAGTATAGAGTCCGTGTATAAAAGGTATCCAGAAAAAACACAAAAAGAAAGTCCTAATTGGTGTTATATGTGCAGGAAGCAAAAACACAAATTTGCAGAAAATGGTCTGGTGTAGAGGTTTATGGACACCATTGACGGGCCATCGTTCAATCGACGGACCGTCGATGCAGTCCGTAGATACTAGGTATATTTTAAATTATCTCTAAGTCTAAAGTGATCGATGGTCCTAATCGACATACTAGTCGATCGATCTATGGCCTATCAACGGGGTTTGGTGGATCCAAGATTGCCAGTGAATAGGTCCGACCCGACCAGTATTATTAAAAGACACCCCTTTCAAATTCATTCCCTCTTTCCATTTTCTTTCAAACATCCTTCCTTAACCAATTCAACCCATCATTTCCTCCACATTTCACTTCAAAAATAAACTCCCTATCTATGCAATTTGTCCCATCAGTTTCTCAGAAATCCCAAGCACTCTCTCTCTCAAATTCTCTTTTTCTCCATTATCAAGAGGCCGATGATTGAGTTCGGGCACATAGGCTACTTCTTCCAAGTCCCTCAAAACCATACCACTTCTAAGAAAGGTACTTTGATTTCTCTTAAGCTTTGAATTCTCATTCATTGTTAAATATAGGAATCCGGGAGTTGGTCTTGACTTGGGACTGAACTAAGTGACGAGTAGAATGGTTAATTTCTCCCATGGGGATGATATATATTAGTTGCACTGCGACTTAACAATCTAAAAAGTTGTGTGTCCCAATGTGTGTGAAAGTTCCAACTTAGGGTTCAAAGTTTTAGTAAATTGGGTTGATAATTGCACAAAATCAAAATCTTAGGAATGACGAACTAGTGTTTAGTGTGTTATAAGTATGTTTAGGACTTGATTGTGATTAAAAGGGTCTCTAAAGAAACTAAAATGTAACTTGAAAAAGGTCTAAATAATGTCTCAGGCCGATAGTACGAGGCCCCTTCTACGACCATCGATCAATTGATGGTTCATCGATTGAAATGCCCAGAAATATGCTTAAGTTCAAAACAACGGAAGTGGACTAAAGTCTGTCGATTGATCAATAGACCGTTCTGCACGTCGTCTTATCCATCAGAGAAGTTTGATTTCCCCCATTCTAAAATAATTCTATGTGTCAGTTGAGGAAAGTGCACTACAGTTTGTTTATTAGACGATGGACTATTCTACACATCCACCATTTCCATAGGAGAAGTTTGTTTTCCACCTATCCTTGAATAATTCTAAGCGTCAGACGATGGATAGAATCTATGGACCATTGATTGATCGACGGGCCATCAGTGTGTCTCATCTGTTTGAATCTACCGTACTAATATGTGTTTTTGATTTCCTTGTTTCTTCTTTCTATTGTTTTTTTGAGTGTGTAGTTATGCTGCTATGATACTAACATCTGCTTCAGAGGTAGAGATGGCTCCCAAGAAGGACATTGTCTATGCCTAGAGGGTCAAATTCAAATCGGCCGTCCTGTCTCTTTAGTTGATCAATGAGGACATTGATAATGAGTGAAACCTAGCCTATGTTCCTCCGGGTTCTACAACACCGACAACATCAACACGAGTCACTAGGGGAATCCCTGGAAGGTGACTTCCGATGTAGTCACTTTCTCTCAGTCTGATGAGAAGGGCACAGTGATCGGTTCATCAACTGGGACTGATTCCGGTTCAGATGGGGACTTTGGCTCCAAGGATGCCACAACTTCAAGGTCGACCCAGTCTTATGGTCCGAGCGACCAATGCTTTCAGATCTAACTCTCAAGAAGCCACTAGATTTTGGGATGCAGACCACCAAGCCTCGTATGATGAGGCTACCAGTTCAGTGTCTGCACTGGCTCCCCAAACGGATGACCCTCTCCGGTTATAGATGAACCAAATCAGTGGTGCTTAGAGGGCTAATGTCAAGTGTATTGGGATGCTAGGATGTTGAATGAGAAGGGGGTGTTGACCCTGTTGGTTACTGAGGAGCGTCAAGTCCTCACACAAAGTTTGTTGTCATGACTGGGGAGCACCCCCTAGAAGTAACATCGAGTGCTTGACCTCTTGGAGACCTCATACAAGTCATTAGACATCTTTAATTGCATAATCGTAATAAAAATTGCAGAAAAGTTAAACTTTTGATAGCACATCATATGCTAGAGAACGCTTCATATGCATATATATATATATATATATATATATATATATATATATATATATATATATATATATATATATATCATAAGTACATAAGTAGACTCTAAGTTTCATTTTACAACTTAAGACACAACTCAATTGAATTGAATAGGGACACGACTCATAACAACATAAAATATAAGTCTGATCTATTACATAAACTTAAAGAACATTTTTTGACATAGGCAACCCTTGAATCACAATGGTTCCTTTACTTGAACTTGGGAAATTTATCCAAGCTCTCCACTTAGGAGACATCTCTAGTCATCAACACCTACACTTTATGTAAAAATATGAAGAATAATGGTATTAGTATAGAAATGCACTAAGTATGACAACCAAGCAAAAACATGCATTTAAAGAATATATTTCATTTGAAATCATGCAACATGTCTTTTAGTAAACTTCATGAACATTGGCACATATAAGCACAATATAGTTCACATACATCATATAGACATGGATACTACTCATATTATCATATAAAGCCATTTATCATATTTTGAGGCATATTCAATACATACAATACACTACTTCTCTCTTATTTTACTTATTTCCTTAAGTAACCCTCAATTGTACTTAGTACATTGTATATCCTTGAGGTCACCTAACCATAGTCTTTCATATATATACTTCATAAACATAACCACATATATTGACAAGTCATAAGAAACTCACTAACATCATCTTTACATAAGTACCATCACCTAAGACAACTCCTAAGTCACACTAAACTAGGCATAGAATACTTAACAAGTCATAAAACTTCCATTTATAACTAGACATAAGACACATACTTCATAGTATCATATAAGGACTCTTTCATTTGTAAAAACATTAGTTGTAACTCTTTTAATTCATACAATAAGTCAACCACCCTCATAATCCCTTCACAAGCTTACTTATGTAATGTACACTTGGAGTCCCATATCCCCTTATACTAAGTAAACTCACTTGGAAGCCATAAGTGCAATTCACACACATACACATTATTCATGTCTTGACATATGAAAGTCACTTAACAATGCATTCATACAATTCATACATAACGTATCATAAGTTTTACTTTCATACAAATACTAATATTATCCTTTCTTGAAGTTCACTTGTGCAATGCATAGGTTGGGGCCGTAATCCTACCTACACTAAGTAACTTCCTCAAAGAGTTATGATTAGAGTCCACAATCTTATCTTAGTTAATTTCTTAATTTGGGAGACTAAGACATAACTGACATAAACGATGTGAGCTACAAGGAATTTGGTGTTGTCCTCCCACATCAAAAGGGTTAACACTTCCCTAAGGCGTAACAAATCATACATAGCTATCAGGTGTATCCACAAGCTATAACCTATGGGGGCACGTACTTATGGAACATGGAGATTATTTCTAGAAACCTTGACTTACTAGCGTGGAGGTTTACATCTCATGTTACAACATCTATGTTGGGAAGCCGGACTTGCTATACGTGAATGTTCTCTTGTGGGAAGTCGGACTTACTAACGTGAATCCCCCACTCTCATTAGTCATGTTCACTCGGTGCTACGCTCTATCTACCATTTTAGATATATCTAAGCCTTTAATGCGTTAGTTCATAAATAAGGCTTTAGAAGTGTCACATGCGGGTTTACCCCTAGACGTAACCAGCGTCGTCGTCCTCTTTGAGGACTAAGACTAGACTCTTAGTTTACATCATCACCTGCATAAGTCTAATTTAGCGGGAAAATTTAAAACTTTTATTACTTCTACTTGGAGGTTTACATAGATCTCTCTCTTTCTCTCTCTCTCTCTTTATATATTTATATATCGAGCATACATAGACCCTTCATATAGGAAGGTTACATAGCCTTCTACTTTTATTGCACATATACATATACATAAGATAGAAACTAGTCTTAAGGATTGTCTCATCTCATACCATCTAAACGATCATAGCAATTTGGGCATAGCCATACATTAATGTAAAAAAGCCACATATAGGCTTATACAAATCGTACTCAAAAGAAAATATAATGAACATAAAAGTCTTAGAAAAACAAAGCAACTTCATAAGCAAGATATTGGCATCACCCTCGAAAAGTGAGGACCTACCTACTTGGATGATAGAGAATATCCAAGCCTTCTTCAAGTCGTCTCGAATGAGCATTAAACGACCGAAATCTAAAATGTTCGGGAAAAATTAAGAAAATGGGGTTAGTATGCCACATGTACTAAGTATGATACCATATTCACATATAAGATCAAATCATGCTAAAAACGGACATGTTATAAGGTATGCATTTTCCCCTTAAAAACCATTATGCACATCCAACAAGATCATACCAATCAACATTTCATATTGATTAAGTCATAGACATGTTCCTCACAATACAACCACTTTCAAGTCTAGTCAAGTCAACCCTTCATATCATGTAGATGGATACATACTCAATTAACTCCATCACCAAGTCATATTTAAACAGTAGTCATGAATAAGAGTACATTTTATCATAACAAAGCAAAACAACTACCCATGAACCTTTATCAAGTCAACAAGTGCAATTGACCAAACAAAGCCCCATAACATTAATCAATCAAGCAAGCCAACAAGAATCATGACTAACACCCTATTTCATTATAACATGACAGCTAGATATACATTTCATCTTACTTTAAAAATATAACCCAACATATACTCATAAGTGAAGTAATCAACATATAGAATAAACAATGTGCAAATTCACCATATACGTGTCATATATCATGATAAACATAAACATACATGAGAACATCCTCCTAAGACTACCCTCAAGGCTAACTAGTGCAATGCTTAGGTAGAGTCCCATACCCCAACTAGATTGAGCTAGACCCCTTAGGTTATCCTAGTAAAAGTTCAATCCTTTAATTCATTTTACCTTTTGGGAACATCTTTATCAAACCAACATAGACCACATGAGCTAGTGTGTAATCCGATGTCATAAAATCCCACATCGAAAGAAGGCGGATTATTTGCCAAGGTAGTACCGAAACATAAAACATAGCAATTACGTGGATCCACTAGCTAGTATTCCTATGGGGGCAACATAGTTCAAGAACTAGGAGATATAGTTGGGACCCTTTTTATGCTCCATGCATTGTAGTCCAATCTAAAGAGTACTTTAGTATTCCTACCTCCCTATGTGGGAAGGGGCACTCCTCACTTTATTTTACTTGGTGCTAAGCTAGAGTACCTTTTTTGAAATTTATTTAAGACTTTAATTATAAATAATAGCTTAGTTTAGGTCATAGGGCCTACCCCTTATATAATCATCATCATCAATAGCTCAATAAGAATTGCATGAGTATAAGTCCTTTCATTACAATTCATATAAGTGAGGTTAACACATTAGCATTTTATATCATAATAATGCACATTGATAGTCATCACTATCCTTATAACACATACACCTTAATCAACCTCACAACATAGTCAAGATATTTAAATTCAATATCATACCGTCCTATCAATCCTAATACAAGACTTACTCCAATATAACATCATAACTTAACCACAATTAATCACAATGATTTGGAAGTAAAGATAGAGATCATAAGACTTACCAAGTCTCCTTCATAGATCATCATTTGGGTCTAACCATAAACCCTCAATTCAATCCAATTTATATGTACCACATTATAATTCAATAATCAACGTGATAACAAGACTAGAAGAGTCACTACACCATAATTCAATACAAAATAAAAGCTTAAGACAAGATACTTAGGTCAATTCTCATAACCTAGATCACTTCTCAAGAACTAGTATGAAAGATTAAAAATTATCATAATTTGTTTATGATTAGTGTAACAACATCATCTAATAGTTATTTAACCAATAATCAAGTCAATTGAATTAATTCCAACCTAACTCACATCAAGATCAAACCTAGGGTTAAGGGTTCAGGATCATGTTCTTCTATTTAGATTAAAACATCACAAATTACCATAATCATGTTAAAATACATGTTAATCTATTCATTTTATCCTAAATAAACCATAAAAAACTTAGTTCATAACATCAAATTCCTAATTGGATGAAACCCACTTGAAAACCCAACTTTTAGAAATACTTAAGAAGCCCTTTGAGGAAAAAAGTCTCAAACATAAATTAGATCCCATACCTCAACATTTGATGAAGATTGAATGGTGAAATCGTCCCTTTCCATCCCCCAAAACGCTTCCTTAGCTTGTTCTTGAATGGTGTCTTCCAATAGAGAGAGAAAGAATAGAGAAGGAAGAGGAATTGTTTTGTGAGTTCTGTTTAATCTAATGGAGGTTGAGGGGTGAGGTTAATTAACTTAATTATAATCCATTACACACCTAATTAACCACCTAACCCCTTAACTAATTAAAAGAAACTAACTCAAAAACATGCAGGAAAACTTGATCGATGGGCCGTCTGTGAGTTGATGATTGTCCCCCCTGTCCTGCACACTCATCGTTTTGGTTAGAGACTTGTGCAGGCGAGGGATCCATCAATGCGTCTAACTGTGGGATGACAGCACAAGAGACAACTTTTGATGTGGATAGGTTCTTAGTATTAAATGAAGGATTTGTGTTCCTCAAGTTGATGACTTAATTTAGAAATTATTGACATAAGCATACGTTTCGCGATATTTAACGTATCTGGGTGTGACAAATATGTACCAAGATTTGAAGTGAATTTATTAGTGGTTTGGCATGAAGAAAAATAGAACGGATCTTGTGGATGAGTGTTAAAATTGCCAACAAGTGAAGTATGAACATCAAACCCCTATAGGTTTTCTTCAGAGAATGCCAATTAAAGAATCTAAGTGGGAGAGGATACGCATGGATTTTGTTGTAGGCCTTCTAAAGACTTTGGAAAATTTTGATTCTATTTAGGTAGTTGTTGATAGATTTACTAAATCAGCCCATTTTATTCCGTTAAGAATAGATTATGATGCTGAACAAATGGATAAAGTTTATGTGAAAAATATACTGAGGTTATATGGGGTTCCCCTCTTTATCATCTCAAGTCGTGGTACCCAATTCACATCCAATTCTTAGTCGAAGTTACATGGTGAATTAGGAACATAATTTAGTTCTGGTAAAGCCTTCCATCAACTGATGGACGGGCATTTCGACAGGACTATTCAAGTGTTAGAAGACCTCTTGAGGACATGTATGATTTATTTTGGAGTACATTCGGATAAGTTATTACATTTGTGTGAGTTCTCCTATAATAATAGTTATCACTCCAGCATAGATATAATACTATTTTAGGCACTTTATGGGAGGGGATGTAGATCACCCATAAATGGTTTGTGAGTCGAGATGTGAAACCCTTGGGGTTAATTTAGCGAAGGATATAAGGTGATGAATATTCAAGCTAAACTTCTATTAGCCATGAAAAGTATGCAGACCATAAGGTAAGAGATATAACATTTCAGACCGTTGAGAGTGTTGTTTGTAAGGTATCAACTATGAAAGGCTGATGAGATTTGGCAAGAAGGGAAAGCTCAGACAGCGATACATTTGTCCCTTTAAGGTTCTTGAATATGTAGGGCATGTGACTTATAGAGTGGCTTTACCTCCTAATCTATCTTGAGTTCATCCGGTATTCCATGTGTCCATGATGAAGAGATATCATGTTGATGAGGATTATATCATTAAATGAGACTCAACCGTGTTAGACAAAGAGCTCTAATATGAGGAGGAACCAGTTGCAATTCTTAATCATAAGTTAAGGAACAATTAGATCAAGTTTCTGAAAATTCAATGGAAGATCCGTCCAGTTGAGAAAGCTACTCGGTAAATCTAGAGAAACATGCGAGACGAGTATCCCCAATAGTTTGTTGATTTAGGTACTGCGCCATTCTTTCTTTAGATTGTTTTTCCTATGTTTTCACTCAGAGACAAAAGATGAGTAAATTGGTATCTATTGTAATGACATATTCCTGTTGTTATAGAAAATCCAACGAGGAGAAATTTTGGGCTGGAAAATGTTTTTGTGGTAACCTAAAATTTCCCAACCTAGCCCTGATTTTGACGAAATCGGAGTCTGTGAGGTCTAGGTAAAGCTATTATCAATTGGGTTATTTTATTGTAAATTTGTTAACATGAGAAGATGGGTAAGTCGTTAAGGAACCCGTATGACTTTACGAAATTGAATTCGAGTTACTAGTTTTCTCAAACCTGATCTAGTCATGAACCGATAATTTATGAATGTGATTGGTTTAAAGTGTGTTGTGAAATGGTGTCCTGTATTTATTTTTTTTACTCAATGTTACGTGCAAGATTCTATTACAGGGAATTTTGACGCAAAGGCTGGGCCGATATGGCGGGGAATACTCGACTTAAATTCGAAAATAAACCCCTAAATAGTTTTATTCTAAAATTATTGAACTTGAGAGTTAAGGAAAAAACCTAGTGCTTTTCTCAATTCACCATTAATGAGGCTAAAGGTAAGAATTTCACTTTAATTTTTCGACCCGTATAACGTAATATAATGGGTAATAATCAATGAGGGAATTTTTATCTAGAATTTATGGTGGAAACACCCCTAATTTTGATATAGGGATCATGTTATTATCTGGGGCTGATAAAATTGTTAGTAACTCAGGTAATTAGTGATTGTTTATTGATTTCAGTGTTTTTATGATTGTTTGTAGATCAAGAACAATAGAAACGAATATGGAAAGGTAAGAACCATCTTTCTTAGAGGTTCAAGCTTTTTTCAAGGTATGTAATGGTTGTAATTATATGGTTGTGTGATATATGTTTGTTCTTACTTCATTATGATACATGTATATCCGCCAATATTGCATTATTAATCAAATAAATTGTTAATGAGGATATATGAATGATGAATGTTGTGAATCATGACTCTATTGTATAATTATAAGAATATACTTGAGATTGTGATTTTGGCCTATTGAATGGATTGGGTGTTGCGTGCCGATACACTAACTTAGATTGGTTGCCTCATTCCGACATAATTATGGGATCTATTATCATGTTCTGACATAATTATTGCATCGGGTACCGCGTTTTGGTATGCTAATAGTTTGGGATTGGATTCCATGAAAGGACCAATGACTTGATATGACTATGATATTTTAGAATTGTTAAATTGTTTGTTGTTCATAAAATGATGATGATATTGCATATGTTCAGTGTAT